TACACTTTCCCATACTACCCTTAAAGGCTGATGCTAAAATTACTACTACAGCCACTAACAAATTTTATTTGCCACTGCTAATTGTAGGTGTGTGGACCCCTGTCAAAAGGGGTTTAGAAGAGGAATGAATGACAAGAGATGTGCATGTTGTGTGCTGACCCACCTTCAGCTTACTCTCTTTCTCCTTTGTGACCTTGGTGAGCAGTTTGGCCTTCTGCCGAATGAGCGCTTCAATCAGAGAGTCACACTGAGCGACCAGACATGCCTCAAATTCAACGCCGTTCTCCTGTTACACACATACACACAGTATACACATACTGAGAGTGAGCCTCAAGAATCTGCAGCACAAAACACTATATACAATAGATCTCCATCATTTTGTTTTTGGTGACCTTAATATGGAACTTTTGTAACATTTTAACCCCCTTCCAGAAGAAGTCTGCTAAAGTTAGTCGTTATAAAGTTTCACCATCTGTCTGAGCCCTAAGAATTAATATTGCTATTGCACCTTTCAGACTTATATATGTAAATTACTTATTTTATGATTGGCTAACCTTTTCACATTTGTAAACTTCCATATTTGAAACTGCTGGATACTAAATGGTGTTTATATGCAAATGTGGGAAGTAATATTTTAAATTCTACCATGACAATCAATGGTCTTGGTGGAATAGATCTGCTACGCTGCTGCTGCTGCTGTGGCAGAGCATGAACCAAGACTTGCTACTGCCAATACATCCACAGACATGCTGCAGCTGCTGTGAGCATGTAAGAAATACTGCTGCTTCACATATAACATAGGCCTATATGAACTAACCCCCATATATAACAAGGCTCGACAATAAAGACTTGTCACGGATTTGTCACTTGCTCGATTGGGCCACTGCCGCGTCGTCATTATTTGCATCTGTTTTTAAGCATTGCTAATTTTTAAAAAATCAAGCAATTTAAAAGCATTCCAGCAAGGTGCAAAAGATAACTCCATTCAGTATTCGCGCGCTGTGTTCTGTGTGTTCAGCGCGTGCACAGACAACTGCGTCTCTGACACCCGAGCCACGAGTTGAGTTTCTTTCCGCGTCTTTCTTGCACTTTAACTGACAAATACATACAAATTTTTTTCTAAATACCCGTCTTGGCAAGTAACTTTGTAGCTTTAACAATGATTAATCTATATTTAATTTATACAGTGGGGTAGAGATGCACCGATCGACTGTGCATTTTTTGTTTTATTTCAGAATGTCTCTGTTCCGTGCTGGCACACAAACTGCATCGCAATATTTTTTTCAAATTGTCGTTTGTGTGGAAATATTACGTTAATATTATATTTAGTCTGTAAACGGCCGATAACAGAGGCCAGCGACGCTGAAGACGGACACAAAGAGGAGAGAATACTGTAGCAGGTAGAGCAAGATCACTCGCCCCAAGTCGGGAGGGTGCCCGCCCCCGAGCCAGAACCAGCCCGCCGGCCGTTCCCCAGTCAAGCCCACAGGCCGCGGCTCTCTCCAGGCCGCCGGCCGTTCCGAAGTCAAGCTTGCCGGCGGTGGCTCTCTCCTGCCCGCTGGCCATTCCAATGTCAAGCCCGCCGGTCGCGGCTCACTCAAGCCCGAAGACAGGCCTGCCGGCCGTGCCGTTGTCAAGCCCGCCGGCCGCCATTGACGCAAACTCGCTGGTCACCGCAACGACAAGCCCGCCGGCTGCCCAGTTTCCCCGTAATCCAAGGAGGAGGATGAAGAGAAAAGGACTGTTCTCTGCCTTCATCCTAGCCCAGAGCTCGCTCCAGTGTCGGCTCCAGTGTCGACTCCAGCCCCTGAGCTCGCTCCAGTGTCGGCTCCAGCCCCTGCGCTCGCCCCACTGTCTGCTCCAGTCCCCGCGGTTGTACTGAGAGTGAGCCTCAAGAATCTGCAGCACAAAACACTATATACAATAGATCTCCATCATTTTGTTTTTGGTGACCTTAATATGGAACTTTTGTAACATTTTAACCCCCTTCCAGAAGAAGTCTGCTAAAGTTAGTCGTTATAAAGTTTCACCATCTGTCTGAGCCCTAAGAATTAATATTGCTATTGCACCTTTCAGACTTATATATGTAAATTACTTATTTTATGATTGGCTAACCTTTTCACATTTGTAAACTTCCATATTTGAAACTGCTGGATACTAAATGGTGTTTATATGCAAATGTGGGAAGTAATATTTTAAATTCTACCATGACAATCAATGGTCTTGGTGGAATAGATCTGCTACGCTGCTGCTGCTGCTGTGGCAGAGCATGAACCAAGACTTGCTACTGCCAATACATCCACAGACATGCTGCAGCTGCTGTGAGCATGTAAGAAATACTGCTGCTTCACATATAACATAGGCCTATATGAACTAACCCCCATATATAACAAGGCTCGACAATAAAGACTTGTCACGGATTTGTCACTTGCTCGATTGGGCCACTGCCGCGTCGTCATTATTTGCATCTGTTTTTAAGCATTGCTAATTTTTAAAAAATCAAGCAATTTAAAAGCATTCCAGCAAGGTGCAAAAGATAACTCCATTCAGTATTCGCGCGCTGTGTTCTGTGTGTTCAGCGCGTGCACAGACAACTGCGTCTCTGACACCCGAGCCACGAGTTGAGTTTCTTTCCGCGTCTTTCTTGCACTTTAACTGACAAATACATACAAATTTTTTTCTAAATACCCGTCTTGGCAAGTAACTTTGTAGCTTTAACAATGATTAATCTATATTTAATTTATACAGTGGGGTAGAGATGCACCGATCGACTGTGCATTTTTTGTTTTATTTCAGAATGTCTCTGTTCCGTGCTGGCACACAAACTGCATCGCAATATTTTTTTCAAATTGTCGTTTGTGTGGAAATATTACGTTAATATTATATTTAGTCTGTAAACGGCCGATAACAGAGGCCAGCGACGCTGAAGACGGACACAAAGAGGAGAGAATACTGTAGCAGGTAGAGCAAGATCACTGTTCATGATGCGCCAAATATAGGAAGAAAATCCTAAATAGTGAATTTTTTGTAAGGATGTGTTTCTGAGGGGAACTGACTGTTTTCAGAAAAGTTTAAATGGCATTTTCTTTTCATCTTGGCTCGGTATAATGCATTTAAAGTAGAGCTAATATGCACAGCGCTGCTTTGTTTACAGCAGTAACCAAGTAAATGCTGCTGTTTTATGAGCACCACCTGCTGTCAGAGAGTGAAATTGTGTCTCCTGTCCTGATTATGTTGATTTATTTCCAGGTGTTCCCCGTTTATTTCCATTGATCCCAGGTGTGTCTAATTATCCCCTCATCTTGTCATGTGTTTAAATAGTGTTCCTGTGTTCAGTTCAGCGTCCGGTATTGTTTATGTCTACATGTGCTATGTGAATTTTCTATATGTAATTAAAGTTCTCTGGATTAATGTACTCCTCGTCTCCCGCCGTTCCTTGCTCTGCACTCCAGCTCGCTCCAGTGTCGGCTCCAGCCCCTGAGCTCGCTCCAGTGTCTGCTCCAGCCCCTGAGTTTGCTCCAGTGCCAGCTCTTCGAAAGCGCCTTGCTGTGCCTGCTCCTCCAGAACACCCTCCAGTGCCAGCTCCAGCCCCTGAGCTCGCTCCAGTGTCGGCTCCAGCCCCTGAGCTCGCCCTCCAGTGCCAGCTCCTCGTAAGCGCTTCCCAATCCCCGAGTCTAGCCCAGTGAGGGCTCCTGATCCCCTGTTGAGCCGAACTGCCTGATCCGCCATGGGTCCCGGAAAGGACGCCACCCTGGAGGCCTTCCGTCCGTTAACCCTGTTCCTAGAGGCCTCCAGAGCACTCACCCCCCCTCCCCGTTGGATGTTATATGGCACGGGATGCGCCTTCCGGGTGGGGGCAGTCATGTCAGACTTTGTTCCGTGTTTTGTGTGCGTTTTGCTCCCCATGTGCCCTCCTTGCCCATACTTGGTTAGTTTCCTGTTCCTGTTCCTGTCCTGATTAATTGATTTAATTCCAGGTGTTCCGTTTATTTCCATTGATCCCAGGTGTGTCTAGTCATCCCCTCGTCTTGTCATGTGTTTAAATAGTGTTCCTGTGTTCAGTTCAGCATCCGGTATTGTTTATGTCTACATGTGCTACGTGAGTTTTCCGTGTTTCCTATATGTAATTAAAGTTATCTGGATTGATGTACTCCTCGTCTCCCTCCGTTCCTTGCTCCGCATTCCACTCAGAAGTGCAACCATGAAATATGGACAGTTAATATGTTGCAATTATTTTTTCAGAATTCACAGCTACTTCACAACGTCCATCAATGGTATGAATGCTTTTATAATCATCAGAATGGTGTAGTTACGGCATCCACCAGAAGAAGCAAATTGGACAATGCAAACCTTTTCTTGGGATCAACCAGTGGAGTTGGGGTGATTATTATATTTGCTAGTTTGTTTGGTGTCTGCAGTTGCACAGAAATGACACACTTTAGCTTTAAATGCATTTTGCAAAGCTGGCAAAGATCAGTCGAGGGAGTCTGTGGTGTAGGAGTTTTGAACGGAACTAATCGTTCATTCACTTTGAGTACGGTTGTGACTCAGATGTGAGACCTACACTGACACTGGGGCTGATGGGACTGAGTCATTTCATCTACTACACAACGGTGATGAAGAGAAGACGTCTGATATGAGCATGTGTGACTGGTACATTTTAAAATAAGAGATCAGGCTTGAAACCAGACTATAGTCCTTCTGCAGGACTTGTCTCTGTGTGAGAAAGTATGTCACATTGCATTGAAGATCACTGATCACTATAGCACTTCAGTGCAAAGTCTGCTTACAGAGGCTTTCAAAGACAATCTCTTCCTCTCTCCCTCTGCCTGCTGGGCAGTATGAAAGAGCATTAAACTCTTCACTTGAGTAAAAATAGCTCAGAGCTCATAATCCAGTGGTCTCCAGGCAGAATACAATTAAAAAATTATAACATTTGTACGCATGTATGAATTGTATGCAAAAAAATTAGCATTTATTAACATTCAATACAAATGAATGTTAAGCTGCATCATTTTCATTTCTCTGGATTAGTGCAAGGTTTTCTGCTTCAGAGACCCTCAGTATAAAGTATCTCAATAACATTTTATTTTAACATTACATTCTATAATATTTAAGAGATAATTAATGCCTCAAACCTGACATATATAAAATGTTTTTATACGTTTAATATGAATCTTATTTTTTATCTGTCTTCAGAACCCCTTGCAAGACCCCATGGGTCGATGGAGCCCTGGTTAAAAACCCCAGCTTTAGATTATCAAAACCTTTGATATGCAACGCACAACCATCCTAACAAAATTCATGTTAACATCTGACATATGGCATGTTTGTTGGATACATGCTGAACGTTATAATTACCCCACTTCATTTTTAACGAGGTATTCATTTGCATATTCAATGAGACACTCATAAATCAAAGAGGAGATGCTAATATTCGAGTGCTGCTAGCATGGCTGTTTTGATTACGTTATCATTCTTGCTCTGATGTGAAGGCAATTTTTATTCACAAGTGTTCAAAACATAGTGAGGTTTGTTATATGAAACTGAAAGGAACACATTCAAAACTGGCAACCTATATAAACATTTAATATTTAATGAGTTTACATCATTTTCACATTTTTAATACATAACAGATGGCTTTGTTACCTGTATCTGCTGAAGCAGCTGCTGTGTGTGTGCACTTTGGATGGGTAAATGCAGAGCACTAATTCCGAGTATGGGTCACCATACTTGGCCACATGTCATGTCACTTCATGTCACTTCACTTCAAAACTGGCAACCTATATAAACATTTAATATTTAATGAGTTTACATCATTTTCACATTTTTAATACATAACAGATGGCTTTGTTACCTGTATCTGCTGAAGCAGGTTCTTCAGTTGCACCAGGAACTCCTTGGCCTCCTTGGCTTTGTCAGACACTCCATTCAATGCCTGGGACAGCTGACACTGCACACATAAACATGGGTCAATGAAATAATTTGCTTAACATGCTTTAAAATCGTTTCTTCTAAAACAATTTGTTGATAGAGCCGTGAGTAAAAGCATGTTATGGAACTTAAATTAATTCAATTAAAACATTAATCTATTCATGTTGCATAAAGCAAATTAAATATTGTAGTCCACTAGTATGCACACTTACATCACACATTTGAATCCCTTATACATCATCACTAGACACTATCTTCACATGCTTATATCATCCTAAACCTGCATAAATTCATGTAGCACATTCATTAGCTACATCCCACTGAACCTTCCCAGTATTCTCTACCTAACATTTCATGAATCCTAAAATACCACCTACCAAAATACATAGAGTCCTGATCAACCAGGCATTAGCTGGTATCCTCAAATTCCACCCAACATTCCCACCATTCCTAAACATACCCCAGATTCCCAACATATAAGGTTTTGTTGGTTAGCATGTGCAGTCACCCCTGCTGGTGCATGCCATAACTAAAATATTACGTGGACAAGATGTCAAAAGAAGTTGAACTCCCATCTTCTTGCATTTTTTTCCTTTTTCACTGCCCGCGTTGCATCTTTGTCAACACAAAAGCGCATTCTGTGTGAATGGCACCTTGCGATATATTCGACTTATGGTCCTTCACAAAACGTGTCACACGCTCGCGTTAATTATGTGCGCCAGAATGCGGTTGGATCATTCTTTTCTCTTTACTATCATTGGCATATTGTCAAAGTGTCTAATTCTGGTGTTTGGTAACATTTCTATTCAAAATCGTGATTCCTCTATTTATAAAAAAATTGAATTGTGGCAAAACATTAAATTCGAATTAATCAATCAAATCTGAAATATCACCTTGCCCTAGTTTCTACCTTGACAGCCTTCAACAGTCATCATTTATTCCAGGGGTCACCAAACTCGGTCCTGGAGGGCCGGTGTCCTGCAGAGTTTAGCTCCAACTTGTCTCAACACACCTGCCTGGAAGTTTATAATATAGGCTACCTAGTAAGACCTTGATTAGCTGGTTCAGGTGTGTTTGATTAGGATTGGAGCTAAACTCTGCAGGAAACATGCCCTCCAGGGCCGAGTCTGGTGACCCCTGATTTATTTCAATGAAATAACAACGAAATAAAGATAAATACCCACTGCCCAGGGGCCTCATGGGACCATGATCCAGCCCTGCCAATCCAACATTTCCCACCATCCTCAAACACCTCCCAACGTTCTCAGAATCCTCAAACAGGCCATATTCCGTGCCTCCTCTACCACCACCCAACATTCCCAGCATCTTCAAAACACCTACCAACAATTGTGAGGCCCCAATTGACCATGATCCAGTCCTGCCAATCCAACATTACCCAGCATTCTTAAACACCACCCAACATCCTGGACCACAGGACCATAATCTGGTCCTGCTAATTCAACTTTACCCTTTCCCCAATATCCTCAAACACACCCCAGATTCCCAGTATCCTCAAACATTTCTCACTACCTCCAAGCCCCACAAAACATCCTGAACATTCTAAAACACCACCAAAATTCCCAACCAAACCCAACAACCCTGTTGAAAGCTGGTCATGTGCTGGTCCTGAGCAGGAGCTAATTGCTTAGGACCAACACATGACCAGCTAAGGACCAGCTTAAACTAGCTCAAACCAGCAGCCATGCTTCAAAACATACCTAACCAGCACATGATGTTTTTTCCAACAGGGAATTCTAAACACAACTACCAATTAAACACATTCACTAGTGCAATATGACATCACACACATCAATCAGTCAAATATAACTATTTCTCATATTATTATGAGAGTCTTATCAGTCTTTTCCCAAACAAGACTAAACTGTCAGGATTTGAATGATTTATGTGTTGTATCGAGTCTGTGCAGAATCGGCTTTAGATGACTGAAACACTGTCAACTTAATACCAAGTCACGAGAGGTTCTGCCCAGAGGTTTACCAGACCACCATAATCCATAGGCGGCAGCTATAAGATCATTTGAATATGATCTTATCAAAGCAAAAACAGCTTTGCATTATGGATTCTTTATAGTTTACAGCCTACTGTACTGCATGTGCCAACTATATAATTCTAATCTGAACTCTAATAAAACTCTCAGCCTGAGCCCGACACACATTTGACAGCAGTTGGAGTGAAAACCTAAACCAAGATGCACGACTCATCAATCCATATTTAGTAGGAACACTGAAAAAGCACTCACCAGAGTGAAAGGAAAAGAGTGGTAAAATAAATAATATTTTCTATTCAACAAGCTCTATAAATGTGTCTATTCATGCAATGTAATACTAAGCACAACGGCAATTGCAAGACACAACCATTTTTTTAAGGCTTTTGTGTTTTCGTCGTAAACACCTATTGCACAATGTTTTCCCATTTTGGTTTGTGTTATTTAATATAATATCAAGGCCACTTATTAGATTGTATTGCCTGTAATAAAATTTATTTTTTCAAAATATTTATTCTTCAAAAATACTAAATGAGCTGTTAATGGAACTGTTAAGGATGCAAGGATGTGTTACAGTATATCGATCAAAAGTTACAGTAAAGAGTAAGACATTTATAACTTAAGAAAATATTTCTATTTCAAATATAAACCTCTTTTTTAAAAAAGAAAGATCTTTTTCAAATGTTATGGGTTTCACAGAAATATTAAGCAACACAACTGTTTACAACATTGATAGTGATAATAATAAATGTTTCTTGAGCACTAAAGCAGTATATTAGAATGATTTCTGAAGGATCACGTGACACTGAAGACTGGAGCAATGATGCTGAAAATTCAGCTTTGCATCACAGAATAAATTACATTTTAAAATGTATTCAAATAGAAAACAGACATTTTAAACTGACTTACAGGTTATTACCAGGACAATGTGTAGTTAAAAATACATGTTTGTAAGTAGTAGCTATTTTATAAATAAAATGCTTTATTTATAAGTATTTTATTTTATGCTGCCTGGAATAAAATGTATTTTCTCAAAATATTTCTTCTTCAAAAGTAGTAAAGGGACCATAATTGTTAAGAAGAATCAGAACCAAAGCTGTTCAATTCCTTATGACTATTGCTTAGATAAGATCTTTTTTTTTTAAACACTGCTCCCATAATGCACACAATAGAGAGTTAAAATCCAAAATCTTGTGGGTCTCTGGCTTGACTAATGATCACTCAAGTGAAAACACCCTGGCACGAGTCCACAGAGACACACACACACACACATGCTCCTCTTCCTCTGGGTCTTCCCTGGCTTTCTTCGATCAGCAGGGTCTTAAATCAACGAAAGAAACACACAAATAAACAAACACAAGCACACACACACACACACACACA